TTGCTGATGATGAGAGATTCAGACAAGCCACTTAATGATTAAGAGACTAGAAGTATTCTCTAAGAGATGAGGAAGCATCGTTCTTGCTTCGCTCAGCCTGGATTCCCAAGACAGACGCAGAGGCATTGACGCCACTCATTGCCTGTTTAGGAGAAAGAGGGCCAGGCCCAGAGAAGCCCAAAACACTTGGAGGCAGTGCGAGCGGAAGGAATCAGAGCATTTGGATTCAAGACAAAGTTGGTAGATTCCTTGAGGCCAGTTACGCCTCCTTGGGCCATCTCAACTGGTGATGGCTGATGGTAGATTTTCCAGTTTGGATCCTTGATGTTTATGGCTGGCAGGGACCTTAAGGCCAAAACATCTAGTTCAACTCCCTCATTTTACCGACTGAAGCCCAGAGATGTGAAATGATGCGCCCGAGGTCTCGCAGCTAGTTGGTGGCAGAAGGACTAATGCCCAAGTCGCCTGACTTGTGGTTCACTGCTCTTTCCTGGACAGCCCAGAGATAAGATTTTTTTCTGTGCCTGGGGCTATGTGAGTGCATCAAGGAGAGAGAAGTGCTTTAATGAGCTGTTGCAAATGGGCTGCTGGGAACCAGCAAGAGCAATGCTGTGCAACGGATGGGCCTTTAGGAATCTTACTGCCCAGATGCCAAGGCACCGCAGCCAGGGGAGAGTGCTACTATAATGGGCAGTGACATCAGGTAGCCAGGTTGCACTTAAGGACAGAATTCTCCAGGAGCCAACATCCTGGTTCCCCCTCCCTGGCAGCAGGCCCACCCCCTCCAAGCACTAGCTAAGACTTTTAGCTAGCTGCTACTGGGCTCGGATCCACCCTGTCAGCCCCTAGGTTAGCAGTCAAGAGGGCCAGGTTGGTTTCTGCTGCTTTCTAGACAGGAGTGACCTCTCCAGCACCGGGGAGCTCAATACTAGTCAGAGGCCCTAAGGCAGCGCCCCCTCCAACAGCAAGTGAAGATGAAAGCAATAATGTACTGGTTTTGTTCTGCAGCCCCTGGTCACCCCTGGTTTTATTAAAGCCAGACTCTCAAACATCCCACTGAGGATAAAGGCTGGCAAGGCACAGAGGATCTGAGGCTGAAGCCTCTTGAGAAATGGGGTGGTGCAGAGAGAGGGCCTCGCAAGGCCACCCATGGGGCCAGGCTGGGGTCTGCCTTTCCAGAGAGGGAGGTGGCTTCCAGGAGATGCTGACTCTCTCTTTGCTTAGTCCCTCTCTCTCTATTTACTCAAAAGTAACCTACTTATTTTCTTTTATCTAATCACCCAGTTCTCTGCTGCCTCTGTGTGCAGAGGAACAATATCCCCCTCAATCCATTGAGCCAAAAGCAGCCAACTTGCTGTCAGGCCTAGTGAGGCCCACTCACCCACAGCAGAAGGTCCTGCGACCGGGCTTCGGGCTCCCTGGCTCTTGTTTCCCCTCTGTCTCCAAGCCATGGTGGGATCTTGGCCCACTCCCTTCGCCTGTCTGGGCCCAACGACGGAAAGTGGAGTTCAGTGTTGGGTGCAGAATCAGGGTGGGAATAGGGGGTTCCATACCATGCTGTAGACTCAGCACCCTGCATGCTCCCCAGCTGCCACAGTCCTATCAAGAAAGGGCACCCCTGCAGAAAACAGAGGGGCCTGCTGCGTCAGGGCTCTCCCTGGAGGGAGCCATCCTTGAGAGCAGTTCACAGAGTCCCAGCTGATTCTCTTTACCCTGAGGTAGCCCCACATCCCCAGGCAAGTCTCCCAAGGCCATAAACAAATCAACTTGGACTCCCCTAGACAAGACAGACTTTGAAAGCTCCACTCTGCATCTGTAGGGTGGCAGTGGTGGAGAAACCATGACAGCAGCCTTTGTTCATTCCCTCTCAGAGGGGCCACAGGATCTTCCAGGTTCCTTCCCAGGACCCTGACTTGGTCATAACGTTGATATTAAGAATCACTTCTTTGAGGGTTCTTCTGGCTAAAATGTCACCATCCGTTTCTATGGGCATTTGTGTAGCTCCTCTTGCACTATTGGGCACGTCCAAAGCACAAGTAGGTGTAAGGCAAGCCCCTGCCCCAAAGGGGCCTCCAGTCACCAGATGGTAGTGGGAGGCACAGCGGCAACAAGGGGGCCTTGGGAACACCTGTGAGCAGCTCAGGGGCAGGAAGGCTGCAGGGACATAGGGGAGAGATGCTCTCTGTGGGCTGGACCCTGGGCGAGGATCCCTGTGAGGCACGTGGCCCTGGGCCCTACAAGATACATGGAATTGTCCAAGAAAAGATAAGAGGAAGGGGCATTTTGGCAAAAGGGACCAAAGATATACCAGCCACATGGAGCAGAGGGTTGGCACAGAGGAACAGAGAGAAATAATCAGGTGAAAAGGTAACACAGGATCCAGCTGTTGAGGGTCCTGAGTGCAAGCTAGAAGATGGGCCGAACTAGGGGAGCCGCTGAGGGCATTTGAGCAGCAGCACTGGTCTCTGAAGGTCTGGCCCTAGAGCGCTCACTGGTCATGCAACCTTGGGCGAGTTACGTGACTTCCTGAAACAGTCATTTTCTCCCATTTGCAGTGGGGATGATAAGAGCACCTACCTCGCAGGGCCATGGTAAGACTCGCTGAGATAATTTAGCTAAGGCCTTGGCACATGGTAAGTGTGCAACAGTGTTAGTTCTTATTGCTGTTATTGAGTCTGGCAGGGTTTCTCTAACTTTGGGCAGGACCCAACCTTGCGGGGTTATATGGGAAATAAAGGGAGCTGGGGGCCTCCTTGTATCTCGGAGCCACTGTCAGAGATGGAGCACTCAGCCAGGCGCACTGCTGACCTGACTGCTGTCGCATGAGGGGACAGTCATGCTCCCTCAGCACTGTGTCGCAGGGCTGTTTCCTGGGTCTCCCTCCCTGAACTAGGGGACTAGAGAGACAGGAGATGCACCTGAGGAAGATGGGGATCCTTGTGCCTTCTTGTAGCTGGTCACACCACACTGGACCGTGTGCAATTGAAGGGGGACTGTACACTCTCCACAAAGCCCGGGGCCTCCAGCAGGTGCTCAGTAAATATGGACGGGCCAGCAAACGGAAGTTGTGGTCTAAGGTCTGGAGGAGCCAGGTTACCTTGAGATGCTCCCTAGGTGAGTGGAAGGACGCTGTTCTCCTAAGAGTCGGAGTCCAGCTGTGTCTTGTGCTGGATGTGTAAGCCTGGGCAGGGCTTTTAAAACTGAGTTTAAACACCGAGTTCTTCCTCTGTGAGTTGGAGGGAATAATGACAATAATCGCTGCCTCACGGAGCGGCTGTGAGCCTCGAAGGTGGAACCGCTGTTTGAGGAAGAGCTTCGTGGAGCACACCTCACGGGTTTGGTCTCAGCTCGCTGGCTCTGTGGAGCCCCAGGGCTCTGTGTGCTGGTGCGGATGGCTGCCTCCACAGGGTATCCAGCGCCGGCCCCAGCCAGACCCTCTCCTGAGGAGCTGGGAGGATTCACCTTCTGCTACTCCCAGGATTTGATTGGGGGTGTAAAAAAAAGAGTCTTGAGCTAGGGAAAGGGTGGGTGTCAGCGCCACCTAGAGGAGAGCATTGGGACCACATGCTCTGGGAGGGTGAGGGGGGCCTTGGATCATTCTCTAGGTGGGGCCAAGTATCAGGCTCCCTAGGAGTCGCAGTCGAGGGTGGTTCTTTGTGAGGAGAAGGAACAAAAACCTTGGTGTCTCCCTTGACTGCTCTCTTCCTCGGAGGTAACCTCCTCAGAGGGTCTTCCCTGGCCAGCCTATCTAAAATTTCAACCACTACGGCCTCCGCAATGAGCATTTCATATCCCCTTCCCCTGCCTTACTTTGTTCTCCTGGATACTTTTTTCCTTGTCCTTTGCCCTAGTAAAATGTAAGCTCCGTGAAGGTGGGCTTTTTGTCTATTTTGTTCTTTCCTGTGTCTCCAGCACCCAGAGTAACACCTACCACAGGGCAGGTGCTCAACTAATATCTGTTGACTAACTAACTGACCGACTGAATGAATGAACAAATGGCCCCTTCTGAAATCAGAGCCACCCTAACCCCTGAGCTCCTCCTCCTCCACTCTGCATCTGGGAACCCTAAGGGAAGCCCCGAGCCAGCCTCAGCGCCTGAGGGGAGGTGGTACAGTGACAGCACCCTCTTCCTTCAGGTGGAGAGCAGGATGAGGATGCAGTCTGGGAGGTGCTGTTTAATTCAACAGACAGACGTGTTTACCATCCCTGGTGCTTTCCTGTTCCCTCTGGCTCAGAAACCTCCAGGGACTGGGACCCCTGGCTGTGATGCTCCTGGAGGCAGGAGAGGCGGCAGAGAGCGTGCTCTGTGCTGTGCCCATTTTTGAAGGATGACCACACTTAGGGAAAAAGGACAAAGTGAACCCAAGACCTGGCACGAACATGGGATGGCGAGTGTGCGTCGCCGTGGTCAGCAGCATGTCCTGAGCGGGATCACGGAGCCTTCTGCTCCCGTGCAAGACCTGGAAGTGAGACTGCTAGGTGTGTTTCGGGAGAGGCAAGGAAGCTGCTGAGGCAGAGAGACTGATGCAGAACAACTGAGCTGAGGCCAGAAGCAGATCTGTTGTGAGAGGGGACACCTGATGGCCAGAGTGTGTCTTGTACAAGACACAGTCATGACCACAGGCCAGGTGGGGCGGGAGGCCCAGGGGACCAGCGACTGAGAAGGGTGAGCTGGAGGAGAGCAGGGCAGGGCCCCAAAGGGCTGCAGCCCAGGGGCTCACGGAGGCAGGTCAAGACCACAGCAGGAGGGCCAGGACCAGGACCAAAGACTGCTTGGAGCTGAGAGGGAATGCTGAAGGGGACAAATTCTGCTGAAGAGGCAATATTGTCATCACTGCCTTTTATACCCAGTTAGTCCCAGCATGGAGGCCAGACCATCAGGTCTTAAAGACAAGGCACTCTGCCTCAAAGAGAATTCTCCTGGGCCCTGGCGCTGCCCTGCAGCCGCTGCACAGGGAGCCGCAGGCCGCTCATCTGCCCTCTCGTCTGCTTCTTTGCAGGAAAGTGTGGATTTGGGAGAGATCATGTTCTCCCTCTGCTACCTGCCCACAGCAGGCCGGCTCACCCTCACGGTGATCAAGTGTCGGAACCTCAAGGCCATGGACATCACAGGCTATTCAGGTACCTCTCCACCCAAGCGGCCTGCCACGTGGCCTCCCAGCAGCCCAGACACTGGGGTTTGGAAAGGTGTACAGAGAGAAGGTGGAAGGATTGTCAGTGTTCTTGGAGTAGGAGCCCCAGCCCTGGAGGCAAACTGCCTGGATTCGGTTTCCAGTTCTGCCACTTCCTGGCGGTATAATGCTTTGGTTTCCTAATCTGAAGCAATGACTTACTCATGTTGCTTTGAGGATAAATGAGTTAATTCATGTAAATGCTTAGAATTGTGCCAGACACATAGTAAGCACTCAGTAGATATTAGCTGTTACTGTCATTCTTTCTCTTAGAGGAGGGAGAGATTAAGAAGTAAATATATAGGAGGGAAAAAAATGAAGGAAAATCTTTCAGTTTCTAGGAGGCCCCAGGACTTCCAAGGGTTCTGTGGAGTTTGAGCGTGTGTTTGTAGGTCCGCACGGCCCTGCGGCAGCCCTGCAGACAGACGCCAAGGGGCAGAATCCGTGAAAAGCGCGGTGCGTTTGTGTTGGAGTTTTTCTTGCAAGGCCCCCGCCTCAGCCCCAGCCCCGGGAGAGCTGCATGTGCAGCAGGGGAAATAAGTCCTATTCTAGCGACAAGGAAGCACTGGTTTGGGGGCCGCTGCAGAGGCTGCAGGCTGGACATGGTGTCCGAGGTTCAGTCCTCGTCTATGATTCCGCAAGTCGTTGTCAGAGAAGGTATTTGAGTTTTGATGTAACAGAGGAGTAGCTGGAGCCTCCTTCCCCCCCATTGCCTCAGATTAGCCTGAGAAGTGAAATGGGCTGAAGCCTCCCAACGAGCAAGTGCACAGGCCGCCCGGCCACACGCAGAGCAGCACGTGGGGAAAAGGCTCGGTTTCTTTCTCTAGACACCCGCCCAGGAGGCTCTTCCGATGGTTCAAATTACTGGTGTAAAACCCTCCAGAGGGGCCTCTGAACTTGGAGGGGAATATATGAAAGATTTTTCCTTTCATTCATTAATTATTTCCTGGAAAACTCCTTAGTGTAATCACAGTTGCTCTAAAGAGGTGATGGTCCAGCTGAAAACATCTGGCCCAGGCGCAACCTGGTGCAGTTGAAATATGGGGTATTAGACCTTGAAAAATGGGGTTTCAGGAGAAGGTGGTCGGGAAGCGCTGAAGTAACGTGTGTTTGTTGCAGTTCTGAATCCCTCGGAGCCCCTGCTCCCAGGCTCCGCTGTCTCTGCAGTGCTCATGACTTCCAGGCCGAAAGCCCCCCCAGAGAGTGCCCACCCTAATGCCTCTGCTCCCACTGCAGCTCCCCCGACACAGGGGGACGTGTGAAGAGCTTCAAGAACCTCTTCCGACCTGTGCAAAGTTCTCAGGCAGCCGCAAGTCGGCTTCCTCCAAAAATACAGCCAATGTAGATTTCATTGTAATGTCAAAATAAGTGCATGCCAGGGACAGAAATTCACTGAGGACTCTCAAGGCTGCTGAGGGAAATAGGATTTTGCTGCCCAAGTCCCCACACTATCTTCTCTGGTGTAATTAAATTGATGTGCTGGAGAGAGAGCTTATGGCGAAGCTACTGAGGTAATCATCCAGGCCATTTCACTTCAGAGGGTTGGGGGTGAGAGATTTTTCTCTTGCTAGGTCCTAACCTCCCTCTCAAAATTGTTCCTTTGTTCTACCTGGATTTGGAATCTGGTATTAAATCTCAGCTTGATTCTAAAAATTCAGGGGTCCTCCCTTTGTCAGGGATTTGTCTCTTTTGTTCACCGATGTAAGCCAGTGTCTGGAACAGTGCACGGAACACACTAAGAACTGAATTAACATGTGTTGAATGAATGAATTTATAGCATGAGGAACCTTGTCAGAGGGTGATGCAGTGGGGACGTGCATCCAGAGGCCTGTCAAACTAGATCTTCTGTTTCTGAGGATGAATTTGAGGTTGCCTTCTGCCCAGACTGCTTTGATGTTGGACTAAACTAGGGAGTGAATGGAGCTTATTAATTGCCTCTTCTTGATTTATGTGACATTGACCTCTAAAAGCAAGGATCTTCCTATTCTCCTTCATCTAAACCAGTCATGAATCAATTCTCTAAGCGTATCTACTGGAATGATGACAATAAAAGTAATACAAAATAATAATAAGGATCAGCATGCGGCAAAGGGGTGATGAGTGAGTAAACTCACCCACCTCTGGCATATCTGGTCTGTACTGCTTTGAGTCTAATGGTTAAAAATGTGAACTTTGGAGTCAGACAGACCTAAGTTCAAATCTTACGCAAGTTTCTTAATCTCAATTTCCCTATCTATAAAATGGGGATGATGATGATAAATATTTTATTCGGTTGATGTGAAGTTTAAATGACATGATGTACATAACTCTCTTAGCACAGTGTCTGGCACATACCAGATGCTGAATTACGATGGCTCTTATGACGAGGAGCTGAAATACGCTGCTGGTCTTTGTGCCCCCTTCTTCAGCTGCATGGAACGTCATAGGCTGTTAGAGAAGAAAGGATCTCAAAGGTCGCCTGGAGCCAGCATTCCACTACAAGCCACAAATTTTTGCCCTAGGGAACAGTCATCTCTCTGTTTAGCCTCTTCAATGCTGATGAGATTGTTGGTTCCTTCAAGGGAAACACAGCCTCTGAATTTTATAAATTGGATGTGCCTCATAGCAGTGAACAGAGCTGGGGAAGGAAGCTGAGGATCCCAGTCAGTCATAAGGCATTCATCTAGTGGTCCCTGGCACAGGTGGCTCCGCCATATTTTTCTAAGCCTGGTGACATGGAAATTTGGTCTGCTGTGGGAGGGTGTGGAAATGGGCATCTAGGGATGAGGCAGCACATGAACAGCCTCAAGCCTGAAGACACTTTTCAAAACAATGTACACCCTTAAGGTGTTTAGAAGTTGCCACGTCACTGACAGGTCTTGGAGCTAGCTTTCCCACCTGTCTGCTTGGACCTGAACACTGTCCTGAGCATATCCATAAAGAATGGAGCCTGCAGAAAACAAAAAGCTGTCTCATAGCAGTTCTCAGAACCCCCCCTTCCTTTTTGTTGAGAATCTCCCTGAGACAGGGCCCTTTCAAATGGGTAGTCAGAGACCGCAGGGTGATTAAACACCTCATGGTGTCCCCAGTTCCTTCCTAAAGCCAAGTGTCCCCATGGTCAAGGCACAACTGCTGCTGTCACATTGGTTAGTCAGTGGCCATTTGGGTTTCTACAGAAATGCCTTTAAGGCTTGGAGTTCAGATCAGGTGTCACAGTTCTTTCTAGCTTCCCTATAGCTGTGTGCCTCATCTGTCCCCCGACTGATGCCCAGGGAGCAGGGGGGCCTAGTGGGTGCTCGGGTGCCCTGGAGATAGAACCATAGGCCTGTGAATCAAGGAGCCAGGAGCAGCTGCTTGGCCCAGACCTGGCAGATTCACATGATCCCTGGCTTCTGGGCAAGAAAATGTCTCAGCACATCAGTGTCTCAAAAGCTGTTATTACCTATGAGTCGCCCTCTTGTTTCTTGAGCTGTGCAGCATAAATAACAATTATGATGGTGACCCAGACACCTGTGCTATGAGATACAATAGGTGTCACTTCACTTGGAAGAGTAGAAAATTTCAGGGTAGAAAGATGACCATGAAATACCCATTCAGAAAACTGAAGAAGAGACAAGGATTCAGTAAAAAGACATCTCCTTGTGGGATGGAAAGAATCCAAGATCCCACTGAGAAATGAAATGTCAGCCTGCTGCCCTGAATCTCAGGAGGCCACCTCATTCACTCCCCCCACCACAGCTCCCTCTCTTCCTCCACTGCCCAGAAGTGGGCAGGAAATGGCTTCCAGGGAAGCAGGGAGTGGCTACTACTCCCCTTCTTAATGCCAGCTGCAAATGAGCTTGTTGGGACAATGGGACCCATAATCCTTTTGTCAGGTGGGAAGGACATGAATAGCATTGTGATTGTGGCTGTTCATTTACTCTGACATGTTGCTACTCCTGAGGCGTCATCGAGTTCTATTTTTACCTCCCTTATCTTTTGGTTAATAATGCTGTCAAAACTCCCCAGAGAAAAGGACTCCAAGTAGGTGAAAGAATTAGAGTGCCTTTGTTCAGCCTCACCACCCTCTGGAGCCAGCCGGCCATCATGGAGCTGAGATTTAGGGCTGTGAACTGCATACTCACGGGCAAGTGTCTTGGCTGATTTGGGGCCAGCTTCTCCATTAGTGAAAGTCCATTAGTGCTCTCCCAAGAATCCTGAGGTCACTAAAGACTCTGTCTTTATTAAGCTTGGAGTGCCCTGAGAGACAGGTGTGCTACATAAATACAAAGTGGTTTAATTATTTTAACAACCCACTGATACCATCTGATGAGCAACAGTAGGTCTGGGACTTCCATCCTTCTGCTGCAAATGATGTTCGAGGACATCTGTTTAACATGTTCCTTTCCCTTCCCACCGCCCCCATTGGCACAGACCCATATGTCAAAGTGTCCCTACTTTGTGATGGGCGGAGATTAAAGAAGAAGAAAACAACCATAAAGAAGAACACTCTCAATCCTGTCTACAATGAAGCCATCATCTTTGACATTCCCCCAGAGAACATGGATCAAGTCAGCTTGCTCATCTCGGTTATGGATTATGATAGGTAAGTGCGGGTCCCAGAGGGACGTGATTCCCTGCCTCTACCCCCACTCCAATGTAGCACAGGGCTCCTTGATCTTGAACTTGTGGTTCGTGGCTCAGGCACCCAGTGGCCTCAAATCTGGCTCCACCCAAGAAGAGTATGGAGTTTGAGGAAGAGCATGGATTCCCCTAAGCAGAAGCTCAAGCTTTGCTTCCCAACTGCCCCATTTCCATCAGGGCAGCTCCAGCCATCAGCTCCCTGAATTCACTCCTGACTATTCCTGTTCCTCTGTCTGGCTCTGAATCCTATCATCTGTCCTTTAAAATGCCTCTCTATCCTCTCCATCTCTGCCTCTGCTGCCACTTCTGCTTGGGAATGGCTATGCAGCCTCCTAGCTGACCCCTGCCGCCGTCACTCCCTACCTCAATCCAGCCAACATACTAAAGGCAAACCTTCCTAAAAGATCACTTTCTTCGTGGACCTGCCCTTCTCAAGAACCATCAATGGCTCCTATTGTCCAGGCTCTTCCCCTGGACTCTCAAGCCCTTCCATAATCTGGACCCAGTGTATCCATCCAACTTGATTTTTCCTTCCTTGGATACATTTCTTCCTTCCTTCCTTGGATACATTTCTTCTCTCCCATTTATCCAAACCCTGCTCCTCCATCAAGGCTGGCTCAAAAATATTTTCCAACTACTTACCTACATGACTCCTCTCTCCAGTTGTCAGTTTAGCTGAAGAAGAAAGAAGCCATGCAGTAAAACCTCAATCCAAGATTTTTAGCACAAGTTCTTGGTCATAGTAGGTGCTTGGTGAACATATTTGAGTGGTTACTGATGTTCTTGCTGAGTGAATAAATCACATCCCATCTGCTGGGGGTATGAAGACGTGGTACTCAGAGCAGGTTGATTTATTTCCAAATGCTCATGTCTCGAGGGAGAGAGTGGTGCACTAGCCGAGTCAAATAAGGGAAGAGACTTAAACTCTCCCAGTCCCCAAAGTCACACCATCTGCCCACCTTTTCCTGAGGTTCCAAACAACTTTATAACTTTTTGCTCATCCATTCTGTGTCCAATGTCCACCCAAGGAAGCTACGCAAAGTGTCACTGCTGCTGGCGCCCTGTGGCCCTGCCAAGCATCTATTTTCAGAGCTCAGCGTTCTGCATTAGTCCTGCCAGGCAGAGTCTCAGACCCTGGGGACTCCCTTTCTGAGAGCATGTCTGGTCACCACTGCCGGGCCCTTTGTTTCTCCCTCAGAGTGGGCCACAATGAGATCATTGGAGTCTGTCGTGTGGGGATCAGCGCTGAGGGCCTGGGCAGGGACCACTGGAACGAGATGCTGGCGTACCCACGGAAGCCCATTGCACACTGGCACTCCTTGGTGGAGGTAAAGAAATCCTTCAAAGAGGTGGGTGAGGTCGTGCTTGGCCCTTGGCATGTTTGCTGCATGGCAGCTCGGGCTGGAGAATGGCAGTCGGCTGCTGCGAGACCTCGCCTTCGTGGGTCCTTCCTGGGGGGTGTGGGGGCCACGGGCTTCTCCTCCAGTGTGTAACTCATTTTGAGTATCTCATACCCCAATCCATGTCCTAGAAAGCCAGGTGATCATTCACTCATCTTAACAGGCTTCAAGCCCAGTACGTCTAGAGAATTGGATAAAACTGGGAAATCTACTAATGAAAAAAATACAGCTTTAACCTTTACACCGCATAGCCCCTCAGCTTAAAAACAGTGTAATCCCCTCCCCGCACTCTGCAACACAGAAAAGGTGTGGGCTGCAAACCCAGAGGACCTGCCGGCTCCTTCCCTTCTCAGGGCAGACAAGCCCGTTTCCACCTGTTTCCAGCAGTGTGAGGGGTCTCAAGAGAGACTGAGAGCTGAGGGGATTGGATTTGTGCAATCCTGTGGGAGACAGAGGCTCCGGGGAGCCGACCTGGTGGATATACCTCCCCAAGCAGGCATGTGCTTTGTGAAGCCCCTGCCCTGTGGTCCTTGAGGCCAGCACGGAGGAGTAAGACAAAGACACAAAGTTCCTGCCCATCTGAAGCCTCATGTTTGTCTCGTGGTGGCCTTGATTTGACCACAGCTGTGGAGCTTGTATGAAGGACACTAGTTCCTTAACTCTGCGCTCCTCTCCCCCAGGGGAGCCTCTGCCCCCTCTTTTCCAGAAGGCCCTCTCTGCAGGGCTTCAAGGAGGTATGACCAGCCTCTACCGACACAGGAGGCAGCTACTGAGCAGAACGGGAGCTGACCTGAAGACAGCATCTGGCGCCTCGCTGAATGCAGGGGTGATTCAACCCAGGGCGGGTGCCATTGCCCCCTCCTGTTTTTTAAATCCTTTGGAGATATTTAAGAATAGAACAAATAAGTGAAAATGTTCAGAATGGTTTAGGGGCAGGGGCGTGGAAGGGGAGCTGAGAGGCTTCTGATGGGCTGTGCTGCCTCAGGCAACTCACTGCTCCACTCTGGTCTTCAGTTTCCTGGTTGGTAAAACGAGGGGGTAGGCTCCTCCCAGGTCTGCTTTTCTGGAAACTCTGACCCTAAATGATGGACAATGGGGCCAATGAGCCTGCATCTTGTATCACCTTTCTAATCTTGGAGCTGCAATAGCCCATCGCTGTTACCGGGCTGGGTCTGTCCTCGAAAACTGGAAGCAACAGACCAGCCTAGGCTGGAGTTGGGGGTGGGGTGCAGAGTAGCACAGAGGTGCTGGGACTCAGCCCCAGAATCCCTCTCCATGATGAATACAACCTAATTAAGCCAAATAATTGATTTCAAGTCCTATTTCTGTGAGAACTCCAACTCACTACTCCAGACTACAAAAGAAAGAAAGATAAAGTAGAATCAAGCCCTTGAAAATGAATATTTGATGAGACAGTAAAGGGAAAGTAACAGTATATGGAAAACGAAGAGAGAATAAATTGATTCCTATCCTTTGGGTTTACTTTTTTCTTGACCTCGTGCACCAAGCTCCCGAGACCGTCCCCTCCCCCACACGCCGTCCTACCGTTTTCTGCTCAGCGGATCATTTCTTTGTACAAAGAAGCTGAAAATGACATTCATCTTGGCCACTCAGGATTTCATCAGTAGAAATTTGTAAAAATTTGTACCTACACTTTTAGCACCCACAGTTTAAGGACTTTTATAAAAATGCCTCTGAGACCCCTCCAGGCTGATATTAAGCAAGCCCTCGTTGTGTTCATGGTAGGCACTGGACTTGGACAGTTGTCATCTCAGTCATCCTTGGAGCTCACAGCCTGCCTTCTTTCTGGTCCTGTTTTGGACATTGAGCAAGCGTTTGCTCCTGGAACTTGCTTCTCCCATGTGTACAATACGTAAGGAAATCTCCTTCTCCTGCTCCCGGGAAGATAAATGGCATCGCATCTGTAAAGCACTCTGCATTTATATTGCACCTTTCTTAGAGGAGTTTTAAGCGCTGTGATCATTTCTTTTTTATTAGTGAGAACAGAGGGCACCATACTTGCTCACTTGTTTGAGGTTTTAAAATAAAGTTGAGGGGAACAAATTAACCGAAAAGGTATTTTTCCCTGCTGGGATTTTTTCATGAATAAAAATTGATTAAGCCATAGCAAGTGTCCTTCCCTGGCCGTGGCTGTGGCCCCCTTCCCTGTCAGCACTCCCGCCCAGGGCTGCCTGTCATCGCTGTCGCCACACACAGAGCCCAGGTTCACCAGCCACCTTCTCCAAGGCGTTTTATTTTGAAGGGCCAAGTTCAGATCATCTGCCAGAGATTTTAGATCTCTGTTGGAATGTGACCCATTTCAGAACAATAAAAGATCTTACTGGAACACAGCCACCCTGGAACAATCATCATCCTGTGTGCTGGGGACCAGTTCTCTGCTATTTCAGAGCCATCAGGATAGGCTTCCTGGAATCATTCACCTTCCCATTGTCCAGGAACCCTGTCTCCTCCCTTTGTTTGTCTTCATAGGAAAAATCAGGGGCTAGCAGAGCAGCCAGTGTGCCTTCTTCACTTGTCCTGGATAAACAATTATGCTCTGTGTGACTTGTCTTTGGGCAATTATATAAAGAAAAAATCGTACTCTGTGTAGCCATTTTGTTTTTTCTCCTCTGAACAGGCCCATCAATCAGATTAAGTGGCATGCTTACCCAGGGGAGAAGCCAGTAATTACAATGTACCTTTTACCAACATTAAAGGTTATAACAGAAAAAGTAGAACTTCTAAAATTAAAGTCTGTTAAATGGAAGCGTTATTAATCGTCTTATGTCACCTTCTGGTTAAGAAACACTTGAGTCAGAAGTCACCATGGGCTCAACACCCAGGCATTTATTTATCTACAATATTTCACCAGGGAAACCCTCGGTTGTGATTTCATTCACGTGGATGCTGCAAGCAGAGAGACTGCCACCTGGAGTTAGGAGTAAGTACCTGTTGTGGACCCAAAGAGGTTAGGTTTCATATTACATTTGTGTCTCCTTTTTCCCCTCGTGTGGCCAGAGACTAAGATGGCAGCAGGATGGAGTGGAAGGAGCACTGAGTTGGGAGTAGGAGACCTGGTTTTGGATCCCAGCTGTGCCCCTAGCCAACTGTGTTAACTTCTCTGTGTCTTTCTTATCTGCAAGAACAAGAGAGTTAGACTGGATGTTTTCCCAGGCCTGCCTCCAGCTCTGGCATGCTAAGATTGCTCAGGTCTAAGTCCCACAATAGGTCATCAATACCTGAATGTCCAGCCTTTGGTTAGTTGTCAAGATCTGCAGGTTGGCCTTACAGGGAGTACTAAGGGGCCATGAAGATCTGAGCCTGACGGAGGATGTCAGAGGCTTTCCTTTGGACTAGGAGCATGCAGGTGTTCAGTAGGTCTGGTTTCCCATTTATTCCATAGGCAAATGGTCTGTTCCTTAGGTGGCTTGGCTCTGCCTAGGAATGGCTGTGTTGAGGGGGGAACTGTGTCCTTCCCCATCCCACCCCCACACATGCACAAATGCATAGTGCAGCTTCTCCTCGGCCCCATCACGCCACAGCCCCATCAGTCCCCTGAAGATCCTGAGAAGCAGAGGGGCTGCACTTCAGGTTCAGAAAGACCATCTTGACCCCTCTGTAAAATCTCTCTGGAGTGTTGTTCTGTGGGCACCTAGGAGAGTATTGGGTCTCCTCAGCTCACAAAAAGGATTGAACGAGTGTTGGACCCAGACTCACTTTGAAGTCCTACAGCTCCAGACAGGGCAAGAATATTCACAGGGTCAGATCTTTGCCCAGCAAACATTGCTCTAGCTATGACTGGCTGTTCAATTTAAAGAAGGGTTGAACGGCTCAAGCGTGGGTCCATGCATCCTCAGCCCTCTCCTCACTCCATTGTGCCTCATTACATCACCCACCTCCACAGAGGGGTTAGAGCTGGGTTGAGAGGAGGCAACCTGTGAGAGGAGAGCGCTGAGGAGAACAAAGATGGAGGTGCTCAAAGGAAGTGGGGGCTGTCTCCGAGCACCTCCTACCTCTTCACAGTCGGGTGTGAATGCCCATAGGAAGCATTAAGACTGAAGAAAAGAGTCCAAAGCTAAAGCAATATCAGGTTTTAGCTGTACTAACAGCTCCTGGACAAATTGCTAATAATTCATGATCGTGGGTTCTTGGCAGTAAGGGCATACTCTGCAGACTGCCTCTTTCGCTGCTAACATAATCCGATTTCTGCTATGAAAAATGGCTGAAGCACTCAGAAATGGTCCAGTCATAGCACCTCATTAAAACACAGACATGCACGCACATATATACACACACACGCGCACGCGCACACACACACAGTCCACACAGTGAAGAAAGCTTTAATTATCTCTGCCATAGGTCTTTTTTAAAAATCGGGTATTCCAAACTAGAAGCTGTAAAGCTGTTTTCCTTCTGTTTTTGCATGGCTGACAGCAAAATTCAAGAAAGCTTACGAAAAGCCGGGAAAGGTGAATTCAGTGCATGGGCCAGATAAGTTTTGGAAGTGAATTCCCTCGGCAATCAATAACCGGCTTTTTCTCCCCTCCGCAGTGGCAGGGCCGAGCTGCCAGCTTCGACAGCGAGAGCTCCTGCCCGTCTCCGAAACCACCTCCAACACCGTGAGCTGCGCGGCCCAGCGGCACGAACAGGACTCAGCAATGTTCTTTCTGCACTTGTTCAACCGTCTAAACTCAGTGTTGTGTGGTAGCAGCCACAGCGGGTCCCTCACTCCAGAGTCTTAACTGCTCCTGTGTAGGGCAAGGCCGAGACAACTTGTCATGTGGTCAGATCTGTCTTAGTCTTGTCTGTCTCCCAAGGTGATGTTTTTTGTGGTTTTCACTTTTTATGGATCTGCTGTCAAGAAAAGAAGGGAAAAAAAGTAGGGAAAAAACCAAGAGTAGAGAGCCCAGGAATTGGTTCTATAAAAGACAATGTAAAATAGTCGTCTTTTGGGGGGAGGTGGTTTGAGTTTCTGAAATTTTGTCTCCACCAAGCTCCATAACCCTGGAGAAGAAGGAAGTGGGATGGAGCCGTGGCTGCGTCCTCAGCAGCCCACAGGAACGGTGCACATTGGTCAAAGAGCCTTTACAAGACTGATTATGACGCTTTGAAGCTCTTCGCGGATAGGACACACGCTGAGATGGACTTCCTATCCCGTGTTGACATCGCGAGCGCCCTGCAGTGTCTGTGACACTTCCGCTGGTCGTTCGGGGCTCCTCACTCCCCTTTCTCACTGGCTTTCTTCATGAATTGAAAACGTCTTGATTCCTCATGGGAACTGAGTCGCTTTCTTTAGGAATGATTCTGCTGAAACTAAACAGGCCACGTTTTCTGGCACACCACAGTTAATGCCCACATTTGTTTGAAAACGGAATCTTTGTTCTCGAAAATAATCTTCATTGTAAAGAAAAGGAAGCCCATATGTTCCAGAATGATTTTTGCATTATACATAGCTTCATAATTCCATGAAATATCAAGCAGCTGTTTAAAATGCCTAAACAGATCAAAGAAAAGCCTAGATAAAATTTTTTTTTCTGAATGGGGAGTTTTCAAATCCAAGTAATAGTCGGAGTCCATCTTTCTACGAAGAGCATCTTCTTGATTGCAACCAAGTCAGCTTAATCCTATTTCAGCCCCCTTGACTCTGGGACAAGATTCATCTTACACTTTAGTTCTATAAATTACTAAGTACTGTAGTGTTCGTTTGTTTCAGTGGTAGTGAAGGGTTTTTTTGCTTTAGATCTCTACCCTAGGCCCAATTCAGTTTAGGAAAAAAAAATGTTTAAACTATTCTGTATTGTAATAGTACATTTCTGTTCAGTTACTAGCGGCCTCCCCACCAACCCCCTATACCTAGGTTGATTTGCTCAGATGGGTCTGTATTGCCCTGGTAAATGTGTGGAGGTGAACTTCCACTTCAACTTGTGACTTACACAATGTCAATTTCCAGAGCCGTGTGTGTGACTTGCGAGAGGTAAGTCTGCTGAAGAACCCTTCTTTCAACAATGGAAGGTCAAAAACATAAAAGCTATTCACACACCTCGTGTCTTATTCTTTGTATATGTCACATGCTTTAGGAGCAGCAACTCAATAAAGTAACCCTCATTTTAAGCCAAGTTATCAGGTTTCTCTGCTGATATAACTTTGGGTAGTATCTCCTTGTCCTAAAAATGACCAGATGGGGCATGAGGTAACAGGATATTGGGACAAAAGAAGTTTTCATCTTGGAAAAGTAAATGTAGATAAACGCAAACTCTACCCTATACTGGGCCTCAGGCTAGGGGCTAATGTAGTTTTCTCCCCAAGTGTCTTGTGATTGATAGGCCTTTCAAGTCAGGCAGTCCTGCAGCTGGGGATTCTCTCTAGAGTAAGAAAAATCCCAAGGTCACGACAAGACTTCTGGCCGGCTGTGAACTTCATTCTGTTTCTTGATTCTAGATTGATCCATCTAGATGGCCATTTCACTCCTTGGGCAGATACTGTGTGTCCTGCAACGATGAAGGCGACAATTGAGTTTCCTGCGTCATAAGGAGCCCAGAAATTAGTGTAAGGGGGTCCTTCCAGAAGTGAGCTCAAAATGCATGTCCAGCTGTCATCTTTAAACCTGTAGGCAGAGGAGGATGACCACTCTAAACTTTTGGAGAAGGGAATGTAATTGGTGTGAATGATGGAAGTTATTGCTCTCAGACTTTCCTCTTGTGTCCAAGTACCTATCTCTCATAGGAACCTCACACTAGCTTCGGAAAATCATTTCCTGAGCAGATTATGGTCAGACCCGACACCACCGTAACAATTGCTATCACTCCTGCTCCAGCAATCTCGGTAAATTTCTGCAGGTTCAGGAGCCCACCCCCAGCATTCTCAGAGGAGACTAGTCCTCAACCTGAAGCATGAATGAAACCCAAATGTCTGCCAACTTCATTATCTAGCCCAATATCTCTCCCCTACAGATGAGAATAAAAGGAATTACAAGTTTCAGAATAAAATGAAATACAAGGTTGATTCATTTGTTAGCTTCCCCCGCCATGAGAAACCTCTTCAGTTGCTATTGTGAGCTTTGCTGAGGTCACGATAACCAGGGCCTTTTGCACATAGATTTTCTTTTTTTTTTTTAATGCAATTCCCTTCTTTATTTAGCAGTGTTTCTGAAAGATGCTTCTCCCCTCCCCACCTCTCACATACTCAGGATGTTAATTAATTGCATCGTCATTTAAAAAATTATGTTGTTAATTTCTGCTTCGTGTCTTCCGCCCCCTGTCACAGACTGGCGTTTTTATTCAATTAAATCTCTGTCTCTTGCCCATTTCTTTTAGCATTGTATATTCCTGAGGTTTTGCAGTCAGCACACACACAGGACACTGCAAAGCTTCTATTTGTAATCTTTGTTTCATATAGATGACCACTTCCCTTCAGTCAGAGGTACTTGTTGGTTTTTTATTCTGCCCAAGGAATACCTGCATACCGTCTAAGGCTGCGCCTCACCTGTGTTTTGTCAGGCTTCTTGCTCACAGAGCAGTTGGTGCACAGGGCTTGGCTGTTTCCTCAGCTGTTCAACAAGCAGTCCCTCCAGATGCCAAAGCTTCTCTAGGGAAGCAGGTCACATGCTCCGATCTGGAAAGTGTGATGCTTTCGCCCACCAGGAGAGGAATCCTGCTAACTCTTGTAAAACACATTTTGGCCGAGAGATGAGAAGATCCCATTGCAGACTCGAAAACTTAAAAAGAACATTCTAACTTAATAGAATACCCTCTCTGCTCACCCCCAGGTTTAATTAATTTCAAAGGCAGCCCATAGAGAGGAGAGTGGAAGGCGGCATCCGTTCTTGCACATCTGCATCTAAATTGCTGGACTCCACAGTGAGACACGACTGAGGGAGCTGAACTGCTGAGAAATGCACTCTGCTGCCTAAAGATGCAGCTTCTGCTTGCTTCTGTCTTCCCATTAGGCCCCCCATCAGCCAGCAGGATTCAGTGATATGCTCATTGTATCTCGAGCTGATCAACCAATGGGGTAAATGTGTCTGGCTGGCTAGGCTGGGGTATGCAGCAATAACAACCTTCAGATTTCAGTGGCTGAAAACAACAAAGGTTTATTTCTTATTCATGCTAGGTGTCCATCACAGATCAGAAAGGGGGAGCTGCTCATGGACTTATTCAGGGGGACTCGAGATGACAGAGCAGCCAATATCTCAAATGTTGCCACTTGCCATGCCCAAGGGAAAAGAGCACTCAGAAAGGTCGCATACTGGCCCTAGTGCTCTGGCCTGAAAAGAATACATGTTACTTTCTTTCACAGTTCATTGCCCAGAACTACTCATGTGGCCTCCAAAACATAGGGGTTCAGGTGCCCATGGGAAGAAGAACTGGAAATACTTGGTTAGCAGCACTTGGGAAGAACACAGCAACTTAGCAGACCTGTGGAGGGTGACAGATACTGAATGGCTAATTCAGAGAAACTAATAAGGGGAAACTGTGTTCTACTTATTGTTGAATGAAATCAATGACTATCTATTGAGCCACACAACTATGTATGGGGCCATCCAACTGTGCTAGCCTCAGACTTGAATCTTGCCCTCAAAAAGCTTTTAGTCTAGTGAGTTGGCAGCATAAGTAACTGTATTCCAAGGTAGAAAGCAGTAAGTGCAGGAACCGAGGTGAAATAAAAGACTACAGAAATCCAAGAAAGAATATGCCAGCTCAGCAAAATGAGTGACAGCCTCAAAAAAGAAGGGGCATCTGAGCTAGACCTTTTAAGGTTGGGAAGGACCTGGGGATATGGAAGTTGTGAGGAGGAGGCATATTCCAGGCTGAGTGGTCCAGACAGCTGAAGGGCCAGAGCAGAGGAATTCCCAGGGCTGCCAAACACCCTGAATTCAGGGAGACAATGAACCTGTGAGCCCAATAGCCACCCTGCTTGTTTGGTCGGCACAGGCAGAGTGCCTGGAGAGCTACCTGAAGAGCCCTCCTTTCCCCTGCCCTGAGCCCCACACCACCAGGCTACAGACCTGGCCCTGCCTAGTCCTTGCAGTGGCCTCCCCTGGGAACTAGACCCACTGCTCCTCCTCCCTCCATTGCTACCTTGGCTTCTGCTCCCAAATGGGCTGATCACCTGGAACTGCAAGACTTGCCTGATTCTGAGAATCAGTCTAGCCGCCACGCTTCATCTGCTTACCCAGCCCCACCCTCTTGGGCTTTTTCTCAGCCAGAGCCACTTGAGACTTCATGATTTGTGCTGTGTCCCGCTCTTCTTTGAGATGAGCCCTATCGAGATGTCTGACTCCCTGGTACAAGGAAAGGACTGGCCTCTCCCTGGCTCTCTTCTTGCTAGTTCATAGCTGCAAGCCCAGTAAGGCTGTGGCGAACCCACAAGGAGAAACTGGAGGCGAAGAGACCAGCAGGCAGTCACAGTAGTTAACCCAAGAGGGGACGAAGGGCTGGGCTAGGTATGGGCCGTGCACGGGGAAACAAGGGTGCCTGTGCAGGATGTGCTTGTCACAGACAGAAAATGCAACGGGGCTGACAGCTGAGCAGATCTGGATGACAGGGAGAGAGGAGAGAGACTGAAAAGTGTTATATGTTTTTACACTTGAGGCACCAGAAAAATGATGGTGCCTTCCATAGAAAGCAGAAACTCAGCCGAACAAGGAAAAAAATGTGTCTAGTTTGGGCCAAACTGAGTCTGAGATGCTGAAGGGATGTCTAGCAGACAGCTGCAGTTCAAGATGCAGCCCGGCAGAGAGGTCAGGCGTGAGATGTTAATTTATAGAAGGCTTACACACCGAAATGAGATGTGAAGACAGGAGGCTGACACTGCCACTCGGGTAGAAGTAGACAAGGAGAGTCTCAAAGAGAGGTTCTTCGGAACCATCAACATCTAGAGGTCAAGGGAAAAGAAAGTGATGTGAATAATAATGGAGGTGTGTTCAAGCGAAACTGATCGATGAAAACACTGATGAACAAAAACAGATCAATCAAGGGCTTCATAAAATGATTCTTCATAAATTAATCCAAAGTGCTTAAACGTAACTTGATTCACAAGTCTATTTTCACCCACGTTTGCAGGGCCCACCTCTTTTTTTCTCAATCAGCTGTGTTCTTGCCTTTTTAAAAAACTGTGGTAAGATATACATATCATAAAATTTACTGTTTTAACCATTTTTAAGTGTACAGTTGAATGGATTTAAACATATTCACATTGCTGTGCAATCACCACCACCATCCATCCATGGACCTTTTTCCATCTTGCAAAACTGAAATTCTACACCCATTAAACCGCAGCCCTCCATTCCTCTTCCCCCCAGCCCCGGCAACCATCATTCCACTTTCTGTCTCTATGAATGTGACTACGCTAGGTACCTCATATGAGCGAAATCATATGATATTTGTCCTTTTGTGTCTGGTTTATTTCACTTAGCATAATGTTCTCAAGGTTCATCCCTGTTATAATGTGTCAGTTTCCTTCCTTTTTAAGGCTGAGTGATATTCCATTGTATGTATATACTACATTTTGTTTTCCATTCATCCATCAATGGACATTTGGGTTGCTTCCACCTTTGGGCTGTTGTAAATAATGTGCTGTGAACATGGATGTACAGATATCTCTTCATGTTCCTGCTTTCAATTCTTTTGGGTATATACCCAGAAGTGGAATTGCTGGATCCTACGGTAATTCTATTTTTAATATTTTGAGGGACTGCCACACTGTTTTCCATAGCAGCTGCAGCATTTTACATTCCCACAAGAAGTGCACAGTTCCAATTTCTCCACATCTTCACCAATACTTATTTTTAATTTTTTTGATGGTAGATATCCTAATGGGTGTGAAGTGGTATCTCATTGTAGTTTTGATTTGCATTTTCCTAATGATTAGTAATTGAGTATCTTTTCATGTGCTTATTTGCCATTTGTATAGTTTATTTAGAAATATGTCAATTCAAGCACATTTTTGAATTGGTTTTGTTGTTGTTGAGTTTTAGGAGTTCTCTATGTATTCTAGATATTAATACATTATCAGAATTATGATCTGCAAATATTATCTCCCATTCTGTGGGTTGCCTTTTTGCTCTGTTGATCATGTCCTTTGATGTACATAAGTTTTTAATTTTGATTAAGTCCAA